TGGCAGAGGAGGCCCAGGCAAAGGGAGCATGCAGGGCAGTGCCTGGAGGAGGGGAGAGCCCAGCAAGGGGAGGCTGCACTCTCTGTGCCGGCGCATCCCAGCAATAGGGGAGCAGAGAGTAAAAACAGCTTCCATACTGATGGGGCTGTTGAGGCCCTCAGCCGTGTCACAGCACACCTGGAATTGCAGCCAGCCTGGAGGAGGCTGCTGGATGTCCCTGGAGCGCCAGGCAGGAGATGGCCTCACCACTATCCCTTCAAAGGCCGGGCCTGGCCAGAGCAGGCCTCGCCTACCACATGAAAGGCTCCTATTTTTGCCCAGAGGGCAGGCCCAGTGGCCTGGGGGCCATGTAATTAGAAGTCCACCCCTGGACCCAAGGGGTGTAGGGGCTGTGGTGGGCCAGGCGGTTGCTGCCCCAGGCTCAACCAGGGAGGGTCCTGGCAGAGACCCAGTTGCCTGAGTTTCTCCCGCCCTCCTGACAGCAGGGTGGGGCGGCAGCTAATTGCACGGTGAGCCCAGAGCGGGGACTTTGAGCTGCTTTCAGGCTGGGCTGAGGGCTGGGTGCTGCCTGCGCCTCTAAAATTACAGGCTGCAAAGGTCCAGCCGGCCCCACTGTGGTGCAGTCCATGGGGAGAGCCCAGGCCGGCCCCACATGCATCCCAGGACTGGGGAATGTGGAATGTGAGACTTGGGGTGGAGGAGGCATCACTGAAAGTGCAGGAGTGGACATTGAGTGGACAATCACATGGTCAGGAAGCACTGAGCTCTGTGTCCCAGGCACTACCCTAGATGCTGGAGTCAGGACAGTAGAGACAGCCAAAGTTCCTGTAGACCTGGTGCATCAATTCCTCATAGCAATAAGCTCTAGGAGCTGCCCAGTGGGTGCTGTGGTCCCGGCCACCTCAGGGCCTTTGCACATGCTGTTTTAGTTTCTAGGAAGCCTCTGCACCTTTGCCTTCTTAATACCTCTCACCATTTTCAGGGGCAGCCCTGTGAGGGGAACCATGTTAGCCCCTGTGATCCCTGAGCTACTCTCAACTCTATGCCCAGGGTGCTCTCAGAGAGTCACTTGTTCGCTCATTTATTTATAGGGAATCTCCTGACAAGTCTGTGAGCACTGAACCTGCGTTTGCTCATTGCAGTCTCCCAGGGATCCACAGTGGGAGAGGCTGCAAGAAATACCTAGAGGGGGGCTGGGGAGATAGCTCAGTAGAATAAGTGCTTGCCTGGCAAGCGCAAGCCTGAGTTCAATCCCCAGTTCTGCCAAAAAAAAAAAAAAAAAAAAAAAAGAAAAGAAAGAAAAAAGAAAAGAAATACCTAGAGGGTGAATGAGATTCAGCATCGCTGGGGGTGAGCATCCACCCCCAGCCCCATGTTTATCTGTGGCCCAGGCTGGGCATGATGGGCACAGGGGCCACGGCTTGTGTTCAGTGGGTCAGGTACAGACTCCCCTAGTAGTGCCCACCTCGGATGCTGTCCGGCCTCAGACTCACTGGGGTTTCCGGTCTTAGGAAATGTGTATATGTACGTGTGAGTCCTTTGGTGCATGTGTGTGCATATGCACATGTGCAGATCTTTGTGTATGTGTGTATATGTGTGTGTGTGTGTCTTTGCATATATCTGTGTGTGTGTGTGTGTGTGTGTGTGTGTGTGTGTGTGTGTGTGTGTATGTGCTATGTAAGTAAGTAGAGCCTGTCGGAAAAAAAAATGTGTGCACACTCTGTCAGGAAAAGCAAAGCAGGGCCGGCCAAATAGCTCAGCGGATTAAAGCACCTGCAAGCAGGTGCAGAGGCTGGGGGTGCGATCCCCGGGCCTGCCTTGCTGGCCCCGCCCCGGGGGTGCGCTGAGACGGCAGTTGAGACTGGGTGTGGTGGTGTAGCTCGTAGGAGGCTGTAAACAGGTGGATCTCTATGAGTCCGAGCTAGTAGTGAGACACTAAACACCCTGTAGACCCTGCCCTAAAATACAAAAAAAAAAAAGCAGCATTCTGGTGTTTCCTTAATAGCTGGTGTCACCTCATGGGGGATGTTGTTGTGGTCTGCCGTGGGCCCTAGCTGGGGAAGGGGCCCTTTCAGAGAGATTAGAGGTCTGGGGGTGGCATTTTTGGCTGCGCTGGCACAGGTGTGGTGCAGGGAGAGGGCCCTGCCCTGGGCCTGCTGCGGGATCCAGGGGAGCCCCTCTCCTGAGCCTCAGTTTCCCGTAGCTGTCTTATGGGTTCCCCTTCCTTCTCTGGGTGTGAGGCACAGCATTCCCTGGGCTCTGTGGGAGGGGGAACCCGTGTCCTGTTGGGGGAGCAGGCAATCCTCCGCCTCATCTGCTGCCGAGGCCAGTGGTGAATGGGAAATATGGCCAAAAAGTTGAACCTGCCCTGTTCCCTAAGACACAGGGCAAAGCAGATGCTCATAGAACGGTCAGCTGCACTGGGTATTAACGCCATGTGGGTGGCCGAGGAGGGCAGGAAGCGGTGCGAGGTGGTCCAGTCCCAGGGCACACCATCCCTGTAAGGGATGTAGTATACTCTGAGGGTTCTGGAACCTTCCCCTGGGGTCACAGAGCCTGACTGTGTTCCAGCCTGGTGTTAGAGCTGGCATAATGCACGCCCTCCCACTCCCGGGTCAGAGCTTCCATGCCCGACCCTGGGGCCTGGGGCTGTCACTTCAGAGCACCACAGGGGTCTGCAAGTATGGTTCAGGATCCCAGGCCGGAGACGGCCGGGTCTATCCAGGGGCCCAGGGGCGCCACAGAGAGCCTTAAAAGTGGGAAAGGGAAGTGGAGGAGAACTGGGCGGAAGGCAGCCTGTCAGGGGATGTGGGAAGCTGAGGAGTGGAGGAGGGCAGGAAGCTTCTAGAAACAGGAAAGGCAAAAGAACAGATTTTCCCCTTGGAGGCTCAGATTGGATGCCAGCAAGGCTCATCTCAGACCCCGACAGCAAGGTGTAAACATGGACCACTCTTGCCTGCTCTGCTTGGGGGCTCTCAGGACAGCAGGGAAACTGTGCACTTGGTGTCGGGCCTGGGTGCCTTACATTGGCAAGTACTGTCTTGCCCGCTGGATCCTCCCATTTCCCCAGTGGTCAGGTGAGTACTAGGACCTCTCTGTTCCCATTTTACAGATGAGGAAACTGAGGCTCATGACAGCGCTGTTTGTTTCTGGGCCCAGGGCTTCCTGTGGGGTTGCACAGCTGGAACAGGCCTTGATTGGGTTAATTGTACCCTGGCCTCCAGTTTCCCAGGACTGCCAGACTGACTGCTGAGTCCAGAAAGGACTGGCTGCTACTGCCTGCTGATGCCCACTGAGTCAGGTGGGGCTGGGGCCCTCCCTGGTTGTCCTGCAGCAGAAACTGCTATGTGTCCATGGGGACCAGCGTATGCATGGGTGAGGGTGTGTCCCCTGCTCTGGGGTCAGTGCGGGGTGATCACAAGAGAAAAGATGGGAAGTTTGGTTTTATGTCCCAAATAAATGGCTGTCCCCACCTCGTGTGGTGATTAGCAGCTGGGACCACTGCCAGGAGCAGTCCCTGTCCTCCACAGTGGCTGTGGACGGCCCACCACCCCTGCCCCTCAGGCCTTCCGTGGCTCCCCACCGCCTCCTGGGTGGAAGCCATTTCCGTATTTTGCTGCTGCACCGACTCTCCGCCCCTCTGAACCTGCCCTCCTTCTCACCTGGAGAGCCTGTCCAGGGTCTCCTCCTGCGCAGCCTCGCAGTTCGTGAGGAGGACCTCCCTGCCTCCTTCCCTTGCTGTGCCAGCCTCTACAGGCTCCTGAGCCCTGGGCGTGGTCTCTCTGCTGCTGAAGATCTTCTGTTTGGTTAAAAATAGGCAATACGTGGGCTGGGAAGGTATCCCATGTCTACCATCCCCTCACAAGTGCAACATGCTGAGTTTGATCTCCAGTACTGAAAAAACAAAACAATGCACAAGCTGGATGTGGTGTCACACACCTATAAGCCCAGCATTCAGGGAGGCTGAGGCAGGAGGATCACAAGTTAGAGGCTAGCCTGGGCAACTTTATGGCTTAGTAAGACCCTGTGTCAAAAAACAAGGATTGGGGGTAAAGATAGGAGCGAAGGCTCTGGGTCCCATTCCCAGTACAGAGGGAGGAGAGCCGGGAAGCAGCACACAGACATGGGTTCTCCTGTGAGTTGTCAGTAAGCGTCTGCAGGCCCGAGAGCTCGCAAAGGCTTGGGCTCCTATGATTCCCCTCTGGAACCTGCTCGGCCCAGCGCCTGGCCCAGCGGATGTGCTGAGCATCTGCTGAATGAATGAATGAGTGTTAAGTGGCTGCAGGCCCTCTTGCTTCCTCAGTCAGCTAGATATCCTGGTCTCAGGGCCTGCCCGCCACTCACTTCAGGCGCCTTATTGAACCATTTGACTTCACTGTGCCTTACTTGTCCCTCTGTGAAATGGGTTTGTAATTCCTGCCCAGCCAACCCCATGTGGGGCCTTGTGAGGCCACAGATGCCAGAAGGGCAGGGCTAAGAGGGGCCCAGCAAGCTTCCCTCCCACCCTAGAAGGGGAACTGGTTGTAGAGGCCTGGGAGGAAGGGGGCTTGGCCGGACCAGGTGCCTTAACTCAGTAGCTCCGTGCCTCAGGCTCAGGGCCCCTCCTGGCCCCTTTGCATACGTTCTGATACCCAGCTCTGCACTTCAGCCTGGAACTCCTGAGTCACAGCGGGAGCTAGGGATGGGGACTGTTCCTTCTCCCTTCTAGGGGCCTCCCTGACCTCAGTCCTGGCAGTGAGGGGGAACAGGCAAGACTCTACTTCTCGGTTCTGAGGAAACATAGCTAGACGGTCCTGTCTGTCTGTCTGTCTGTCCATCCATCTGTCCATCTGTCTATCTGAGCCTTCCTTGGGGACCCCAGGTTAGGGAGGAAGTGAGGCAGCTGCAGGGCATGGAGGGTGGGAATGCGTGTGGCCCAGCCCGGCCCCGCCCCTCCCTTGTCCCCACCCCAAACTCTCTTAATGAAATCAAGCTGGCCCTGCAGCCCAGCCGGAGGAGACGGAGGAGGGACGGAGGACAAGGAGGGCAGGCGCCAGCCAGAGCTGCCGGCATCAGTGGCAGGGACTGTCCCAGGCGGCTGGACGTCCATCTCCTCCACCTGGAGAGTGCCTGGTCCTGCAGCAGTCACTAGTAAGTCCCTGGGGGAGGGGTCCCAATCCTCAGAGCCTGCATCTGTCCTGGGGCTCAGGGTTGGGGACTGTCGAGCTCAGCAGAAGCCCGTGTGTGCCCAGGGTGTGCCAGCCGGTGGCCAAGGGTTCTGTGGCCCAAGTGGCTGCTGGGGTCGGCGGCGGCAGGCGTGCGGGCGCCTTCTCTGAAGTGAATGGTGCTTCTAGGCTCAGGGCCCAGGCATTGTGGGACGGCCCTGTCCCGTGGTGGAATGCAAGATGCATGTGTTGTGTGTTCTCTGTGTAGGGCATCGTGCTGTATGAGCCTGTATGCTAGTGTCCTGGGTGTGTTGTCCCTGCAGCTGCTGTGTGTCTGGGTGAGTTCTGAGGCCCCAGGAACCCCTTCCCTCCTAGACCTCCCCTCTGAGGAGCCTAGCTCCCTGTCCTTGCCTGGCCCCGGACCTGGACTCGGCTTCAGCCTGGACCCCCTCCCCCAGACTACTAATTGAAGCCAGATTTTGTGGGCGCCCCTCCTCCTCTGGCTGCTGGTCTCTGGGTGGGAGTGCGACAACAGCTCTGGACCCTCAGCTGCATGTTTTGGGGTACTCAGGCCCTGGGGGATTTGCATCTTTTTGCACAATTGTGACTACAAGCACCCTGAAAGAGCCACGGCAGCTGTGAGAGGTTCTTGGTAGGGCCCAGTCCCTGCTCCCCAGCACCCTGTGTGCACCCAGCACCGTCTTGGCTGGAGTGTGGGGACTGTCCCCTGGCCCAGAGATGAGGACCAAAGCTCCAAGAGGCGACACGCGTGGCTCAGCAGCTCCTGGATACTAGAGCTGCTTTTGGGCTGAGGGTTGTGGTGCTGCCACAGGTAGCCGTATGTTGTCTCTGCGCATGCGTTTTCTCCGCGACGGAAGCACAGGAATCGGGCCTCACCCTGCTCCTAGTGACCTGAGATTCTGAGTCCTCCTGAAAGCAGAACCAGACCTTGTTTCCCAGGCCGGGGCTCCCACTCTGCAGATGGAAAACCGAAATTCAGAGAGGGCAAGGGCCTGCCTGGCAGCCCGTAGCCATCTGCCTGGAAATTGGGCTGGTTCCCTGTACTCTGTGGTTCCAGCATAGAGCTGTGTCCCTCTACTTACTGTCTCTTTCTCCAGGAGTCAGGAGGGGTGGAGGGGAGTGCAGACTCTAGCGTTGGGGTCCTAGCCTTTAAGGGTCAGTGTTAGTTTGCACAGCCTCCTTCTTGGTCCGTGTCCTCTACCCAGTTCCTTTCTCTGACTCATTGCTGTGTGTGCATGTGTGTGTGCATGTGCGTGTGTGTGTGTGTGTGTGTGTGTGTGTGTGTGCATGCACATATCTGTGTTTTGGGTCCTGCACTCCTGTGACCAGAGCTGAGAAAATTTCACTTGATGGGTCACAAAAGTTGGCTTTTTCCTGGGGGGTGGGGAAGACGCCGGGTGCACGCACACACAGAGGAGGACAGTCACTTGCTGGCCTAGGAGGAGAGATTGTCGGCGGCTCCTGGAGTGCTGAGCCCCTGAATTCCACCTTTCCTGAGTCGGCTGCTACCCCGCTGGCACTTTCAGAATGTTATCCCATGCGATTCTGATGGTGCTGTGAGGCTCACTGTGTGATCCCCCCACCCCACCCCTGCCACACACGTGCACACGCACAGACAGCGCTGCCCTTTGCAGATAGGGACAGTGAGGCTCAGCTGAGACAGGAGGTAGAGCCAGGCACGGGGAGCCAGGTGCTGGCCTGGTCCGACTGGCTCCCCAGCCACCTCGTGACTTCCCCAGGGCTCAGCCTCCATGGTCCTGGCACTGCAGCTGCCATTATTAAAGATGGGCAGACTCAAGACAGGCAAGGTGCGACTAGCAGGACATAGCCCCCCCCCCCCCCCCCCCCCTGGGGCTCCCTCAGCAGCTCCAGTGCTCCCGCCTTCCTTTCGGCTGAGAAGTGATGCCCACCAGGGATTGAACTCCTTCCTGGGCTGGCGCAGGTGTGCGGTGAGTGCGTGTGTGGACTCCCAGAATCAGACAGAGGATGGTTTAAATCCCAGCTGTGTCATCTGCGTGTCCTTGGGCAGGCTGTCTCCGAACCTAGGGCCCTTGCTTCTGTAGAAGGGAACCTAGGAAGTGTAATCCCTGGGGAAACCCGGAATGCCTAGCTCATCTTAAATGAGGTGTGACGGCTGCAGTGCCCCTCAGTGGCAGAGCTTTTGCGGAACACCCACAAGATGCTGGGTTCAGTCCCCAGCACAAGGGAAAAATATTTTTGCTACCTGAGCTGGTCAGAGCACGTTTAGTACAAACAGCCCTCTGAGTTTTTGGTTTCTCCAGCTGTAGATCCAACAAACTGTGGATAGAAAATATTAAAACAAAACAGTGCAGCAATAAAAAACTAATCCAGCATATCATTTAAGTAGCTTTTTTGTTGTGTGAGCTATTAAAAGTCGTGTAGAGGTGATCTAAATACACAGAAGAAGCCGGGTGTGATGGTGCCTACGTGCTTTCTGGCACTCGGGAAGCTAGGCAGGAGGATTGTGAGTTCTAGGCCAGCCTGGGCTACGCAGTGAGCTCAAACCAGCCTGAGCTTTATAGTGAGACCCTGTCTCAAAAAACAAAACAAAACCCACAGATGGCCATGTGTGTAGGTTTTACACAGACCCCACATCATTTTATTTCAAGAATTTGAGCATCCATGGATTTTCTTGTCCTTGGAGGGTGGTCCTGGGTCTAATCCTCCCAGGACTAGACACTGAGGAACTAAAGCACAGGAATTGGGGCCTCAGGTCACCTGGAACAAGCCATTGAGTGCCCCAGCCTCCACCTACCATATCTCCTGGGTCTTCACTGTCACCCACGTCACTGAGCAGACCCTGTGGTGCATACATTAAAAATGTGCCCTGCAGTCCAGGTACCCGGACCCTCAGCCCCTTTCCAGCTTGGGAACTCGCTTGCCCCTCTGCCTCTCCACCTCAGACCCCAAGACAGGGCCTCCGACCAACCGGCCAATCTGAAGCTTTTCTTAGCATCCATAGCTCTGGCAGCTTCGGGGGAAGGCGGCTGGGGACTCGGCCATGACGTCCTGGGTCTGTCTGAAGTGCCGGCACAGTCTCACAGCAGTTAGGAGAGTTCGTGTTTTAGACACCAGCTCTTCTATAAACTCTGGCCATGAGGAATTTATTAATCAGCAGGGCTGTCTGGGCCAGATGTGGTCTGGGGGTTCACGCAGGGAGCAGCTTTCCTGCGGCGAGAAGGGGGTGGGAGGGAAGTTCGGGCTCATCTGGTTCCCATCTAGCGGTGGTGGTTCAGGGCAGCAGCTTTGGCTTAGTCTCAGCAGAGGGGCTTCCTGGGGGAGCCTACGGGGCCTGCCTGGATCTTGGAGGCCACAGGCAGCGTGGGTGATGATCCTGGCATGGAGAACCCCTTCAGAGCTCAGAGACTGAGAAACTTCTGGAGCAGGACCTGCCAAGGCCCAGGGGGAGCCTCTGGCTGCGAAGCTGGTATGTGGCCCTGGGGCCACTGCAGCCACTCTGCACGGGGACGAGGCCCTGCACACTCGCTCAGTCACCCCTCAAGGACTTAGTGACTCAGCCCCGCCAACAACTCTCCCTTCAGGCTGAGAGCCAACCCCAGATCTTCCTTGATTTGTGATTGTGAGCCTCAGTTTCCTTACCTGACAAATGGGGATAATCTTGGGATACCCTTTCCGCTGGGTGTCAGGATACATGCCTGTAATCCCCACACTCGAGAAACTGAGGCACGAGGATAGCACTTTGATGCCAGCTTGAGCTGCCTAGTGAGACCCTGTATCAACCCCACCTAAAAAAGGAAGGAAGGAAGGAAGGAAGGAAGGAAGGAAGGAAGGAAGGAAGGAAGGAAGGAAAGAAGGAAGGAAGGAAGGAAGGAAGCCGAAGCAGCTGGAAAACCATGAATATATAAGTTGTTACTGTCATTTCAGGGCATTTACTGAGCACGTACAGGGTACCCGACATGGTGCAAACCCCAGAAGGTGCTGGGGTGAATCAGATTCAGCCCCACCACCTCGACCTCAGAGGGAGGAGGACATGGTGTGTGTGCCAGGGGCCAACCAGCAAAGGCCAGGGTACCCTGGGCCTCCAACGCCAGAATGGGCAGTGCTTGCTGGGACTTGTCCTGTGTTCCCTGCAGTCCCTGGGGCCTGGGGGAGCCCCGTTTTGGAGACCCCAGATGCTCCTCTGACTTCTCCCTCCCTCGTCTCCCTGCAGGTCTTGGGCACCATGGCCTCTGCAGTAGGCTCCAGCCTCCTCCTCTCCCTGCTGCTGCTCCTGCGGCCTGTGCCTGTGCCAGCCCTCTCTGTGTCCCTGCCTACCACCTTCCTGGAGGACATGGGGGGCAGTGGGGATGCAGAGGGTTCGTCGGCCTCCTCCCCCAGCCCCCCACCGCCCTGGACCCCAGGCCTCAGCCCCACATCAGGGGAACCCCAGCCCACCGTCCTGGAGGGCCCATCGCCCCCCACCAACTTCCTGGATGGCATCGCAGACTTCTTCCAGCAGTACGTGATGCTCATTGCCGTGGTGGGCTCGCTGGCCTTCCTGCTGATGTTCATCGTCTGTGCTGCGCTCATCACACGGCAGAAGCACAAGGCCACCGCTTACTACCCATCGTCCTTCCCCAAGAAGAAGTACGTGGACCAGAGTGACCGGGCTGGGGGTCCCCGCGTCTTCAGTGAGGTCCCCGACAGGGCTCCTGACAGCCGGACTGAGGAGGCTCTGGACTCCTCCCAACAGCTGCAGGCTGACATCCTGGCGGCCACCCAGAACCTCAAGTCTCCTGCCAGGGCTGCCCTGGGCAGCAGTGGGGAGGGAGCCCGGCTGGCAGAGGGCAAGGTTGAGGAAGGGGCACAGGGCAGCCAGGAGGTGGCCTTGGATGCCCAGGCATGTGGGGTTCCTGAGGAGAAACCTGTGGTCCTGGAGGGGTCATGCTCAGCTGTGGCTGAGGGCACGCCAGCAGCCAGCAAGGGCCCAGAGGAACCAGAATGGTCTTTCCCTTCAAGCCAGGAAGCCCAGGGACCAGCGGGTCCCCCTGAAAACCCCTGTGCATGCAGCAGTGCCTCCCCCAGCATCTAACAGCCCCCAGAGTTGCTGGCCTTGACTGTTGGGCCCCTGTGGTCACCTCCTTGGGCATGCAAAGGTCTTTAGCCCTGACTGCTTCCTCGCACCCCTTGTGGCCACCTCCTGTGGCAACCCCAGTGGATCCTGTCCTGCAGCAGCTGGAGAAGCTGGCCTGTGGTTCACCCAGGAATCCCTCAAGGGTCGGCAGCACTCAATGCCTGTGCGTACCTGTGGGCTCCACCCCAGCGCCAGGCTCTCAGGGGAGGTGGAGGACAGATGCGTGCCCATGAGAGGCATGAGCAAACTGCCACAGCATCAGCCATATGGGACAGGGGATGCGGTCATAGGTCCCCTGCGAGGAGGCAGATGATCTAGGAGCTTGAGGAGCGACTGGGTGGGTGCACTGGGGCACCTCGGGCCAGCAAAGCAGAAGCAGCCTGGGTGATGCCACCCATCCTTTGAGTCTCCCTAAACCTGAATCTTTCAGGGTTGCTCCACACTGCCTCCCCACCTGAGCCCCACCCAGTGGTCTCTAGGCTCTGATGGGCCACACAGCAAAGGCTCCTTTTGGACTGGGTTTGGAGCTTGACTTAGCCTTTCTGACCTTTTTATTTGTACTTTTGGTTGTAACCCAGGTCCTGGGGCATGCGAGGCAAGGGCTGTACCACTGGGCTACAGCTCTAGCACTGCTCTTTTTAAAAATAACTGTAAGATCAGATCCCGCAAAACTCACTCTGGAAAGTACTGCTCTTATTTTCCTGAGGGTGCCCCCAAGTTCTGTTTGGTTCAGAGCTGGGATGTAGGGTGTTGGGATTGGGTTTCCCGAGCTACCCCTACTTGGGTTTGAATTTCTCACCACAGTACTGCTTCTGGGCTGAAGCACAAGCATTGAGCCCTGTCTGCCTGTCAGACCCTCAAAGCAGCCCAAAGCTAGGGGGTTGTGCTCGAGGGGACCCCCATTTGGTTTCTGACACCCAGCCTGGAGCAGGGGGCGCTGGCCACTGGCCCTTTGCTCACAAACAAGGGCTGGCAGCCTGTGCCCACAGCACCCTTCTGTCCTTGACAGGGAGCCTGCACTCCATCCTGTTTGGGGGAATCTTGAGAGGGGCTTCTGGCCCGCTCCTCTGCGTGGGGCTTCCCCAACCTCTGCGCAGCCCTGCAGGCACTGAGCTGAGATATAACACACCGGCATAATAAACCTTGAATCTGTCCTGTGTCTGTCTCACTGGTCTGCCAGAGGGAGGAGGGGTGGGCTTTGGGCAGGGGCTGCTCATGGGCTGGGAGCAACTTTCTGAGGGATGGGAGGGTGGAATCCGCCAGGTCTCAAAGGCTGAGGGGAAAGACGGAGAAGAGGAGCAGGGCACAGTGCGGCACATACCTGTTGTCCCAGAGCTCTGGGACTGAGGCAGGAGGATCGCAAGTTTGAACCTAGCCTGGGCTACAGAGCAAGACCTTGTTTCAAAATAAAGAATATAAAGGATGGGCTGAGGATGTAGCTCTGTGGGGAGGACCTGGGATCAACCGTCAGTACCACAGAACAAACAAAAAAGGTCTGTATGTAGAGAGATTATTTAGATGCGCGGGGTGGGGGGGGGAGTAATGGGCTCCCCAGCGTGTCAGCCACACCGGACTGGCTTCCAGACACGCTTCTGTTGTTGATCACGGTCATGGCACAGTCACCGCCCTCTGCTCCCCTGAGGACAAGAGCAGGGACAGGACTCCCAGCTGGCCATGCCTGGAAGAGGACTGTGCACTGTGCCGGTCCTGGGCAGTGCCACACACATGGCACCCTCTGCAGGCCCTGGCCCAGCTGGCCCTGCCTTTGTCCCCTCCCCTCCAGCTCCTCCTTGCCTTGATGGCAAGTTCCTGGGGTGGCTTCCCCCACCTCCGGGCCCTGGAGCTCCCAGCTGGGATCCAGATGTGGCTGCACTAGGAGCATGTGCCGGGATCTGGGGAAGGGAGGGCGCGGGGAGGCTGTGGACCCTGCATGCAGCGCATGGTCCAGAAGGCCTGGGCTTGGGTTTCCCTGCACACAATGGCCTCTGTCTTGCTCAGTGGGGAAGCCCTCCCCGCCCCTTGCCCAGCTCCAGCCAAGAACAGCAGGACACCTGAATGGGCGTGCCCCTTACCAGTGTGCTGTGTGGCTCCGGCCAAGTTGTTCAGCCTCTCTGGGCGTCTCTGCACACTCCTGAGCTGTAGGGGTCTCAGACTCTTGGATGTGGCTAGGAAGTGGACTAAACCATATCAAAATCCAGAAGCACACATTGGAGATCTTTGGGGGCCTGCAGAGTGGGCTTCCCAGGCAGCAGCCGCCCACCAGTGCTCTGCTGGGCCACCCAGAGGGCAGGGTGTGTGCTTTAGCCACAGCTGTGTCCCCTGAGGCAGGTGGGGTGGGTGAGGAACTGAGCCCCAGGACAGGAACGGCTTCTGCACTTCCCAGCGCTCCCAGCTGTGGGTCCTCTTCCCTTCCACCCCCTCCTGTCCCCCATGCCTTGCAAGTCTCTTCCACTCAGTCCCTTCTGGCCTCTGTGCCAGCTCCACCTGGGCGCCTTCCCCTTCCATGTCCCACAAGTTTGGTGATGACAACAGTCACAATAGATACATGCCTGCCCTGTGCTGGGCCAGTTCTAGGCATCATTAACATTGAGACCCACAGCCCTAAGGTGGGCACTGCTGTTCTTCCCATGCCCAGGTGAGGAAACTGAGGACCAGAATGGTGCCATCAGGTGCCCAAGTCACAGAACCAGGCCAGCTCAGCAGTTCGATTCCAGAGCCTGGGTTCTCTGCTGGGCTGTACCTCTCCTCTGAGGACTGAATAATGAATGAATGAATGAATGAATGAATGAATGAATGAATGAGAGGTGCTTGGGGCCAGGACAGCAGGCCTCCATTCTTGCTAGGACCCCTCCAATCCGCTCCCCAGCAGGGAAGCTGGTGGCAGTGACAGCAAGCCATCAAGGGTTGGGAGTGGGTCAGCCTGTCAGGGCAGAGCTGGGCTGGGGGCAGAGCACCTGGTGCCTCAGTTCCCAGAGCCTAGGATGCTGCCAGGGTAGGAGTGGCCCTGCCACCTCAGGCCTCGCAGAGCTGCCCCACTTGGAGCCCAGCCCGGTCATGCTTGTGCCACCTTTGCCATGAGGAACAGGTCCTGACCCTGGGCTCTGGCTGAAAAGGAGGATACCAGTGGCCTGTGGCTGGGCGTGTGATGCTGAGGATCTCATGTAGAGAGTGGGGCTCCTTCCTGTCCCCTGTCCTGCTCTGATCAGCCTGAAGGCTGCCCTTAGCTGGCTAGAATCAGGAGACAGCAGCAGGGGACAGCATACATCTCTGTGCTGGGAGTATCTTTGTACCTGCGGAGGAGCTTATGGCTCTGGGTCCTGGGGTCAGACGGTCTGATGATCCCAGCTCCATCTTTTCTTGGCTGTGTGGCTTCGAGGAAGTTGCCTGTCCTCTCTGGGCCTCTTTTACTGCATGCATAAAGGGGGTGTTAAAATACTTGCTCCCAAGAGCCCTCAGAGCAAGGAAGCAGTGTCTGGAGGTGCCACCGGAGAGAAGCCCAGGTGTGTCCCCCCGCCTCCAGTGGCCTCTGTGCTCTGCGTGTGTGATCAAGTGAGCAGGCTCCTTACCCATACGAACCCTCCTCACGTTTGCACAGAGGTCTGAGCAGTGTCCTAACGTCCACAGACGATGGAGCAGGCTCAGAGGGGTGCAGCGGCTGGCCTAGGGTCACATAGCCCAGCATAGCTGGAGGTCAAACCCAGGCCTGTCTAGCAGCTCAGGCGGGGCTCTGCAGCACTATGCCTACACTATCCTTTTAGAACGAGGCCAAGGCCAAGCCCCGGTGCCCAGGGTGGGGCGGGGTGGTGTCCACTTCCTTCCTGGGCCTGCTGCCTTGCTGCCTTGCCATGCCCTGCCCCCCACTGCAGGGGGCTGACCGTGGCTACCTCAGTTCTCATAGAAGTTTGGGCTGTCAAATCTGGCCCAGGTGGGGCAAATTAACCTTCTGGGTTCTGAGAAGTCCAGGAGAAAGTAGCAGATTGTTCTTCAATCACAGCTACTTCATGAGCACTTCCTGTGCACCTCCGGGATGGCGGATGTGCTGTTCACAAGTAGGCCCGAGGCGATGTGGCGGTGGAGATGGGAATGAATCACCCAGATGCAGCAGCAAGGACTTGTGGGGGACAGCTGCCATGGATACAGGGGCTGCCCTGCCTGCATCCGGAGCTCTAGCCTGGGGTTTAAAAATCAAAACAAAACAGATCTACTTGAAGTATAAATGGTAACAGGCTTAAATCAGGTGATTTTTTTCCCCCACTACTGGGGATTGAACCTATGGCCTCTGCACTGAGCTACAACCCCAGTCCCTTTTATTTTTTAGAGACAGGGTCTCCCTCAGTCACCCAGGCTGGGCTGCAACTTGTAATCTTCCTGCTTCAGCTTTCTCAAGTGCTCAGACTACGAGTGTGCGCCACCTCCCCCGGCTACAATCTGAGGATTTCTGACCCATGCGTATTCCTGTGGAAACCTCCCAATCCAGACAGTGACTGTACCCAGCACATCCCAAAGCTTCTCTGACCCTGCTCTGACCCCTCCTCTTGTCGCGAATCCTCCTCCAGCCCCTCCCCCAGGCCCCAGCAAATGTTGATCTGCTTCTGTCACTACGATTAGCTTTCATTTTCTGAATTTTTATATACAGGGAACCGCACAGTGTGTACAGTTTTTGGGTGGCGGCTTTCACACGACATACACGGTCCACTTTTTGTTTATGTTATTGTACACGGTGGTATTTCACTCCTTGTTATCGCTGAGTAGTATGTTCTTGTATGGATGCACCACAATTTGTTTATCCGTGCATCTGTGGACATTTGTGTTGTTTCCGGTTTGGGACTGTTGCAAATAAAGCTGCTTGGAAATAATGTTGTTATTTTATTCCTTCTTCACATCCTGCTGAATGAGGTGGTTCTTTTTCTTGAGTGGGAAAAAATGGAGGCGCAGAAAGGCCACAGAACTGGTACGTGGAGCCCTGAACCTTAAACAGTGGCATGCTGAGCCGAAGCAACTTTAGGAAACCTCTGGACTGGAGGTATCCGGATCCCCTGAGGTCCCTCTGCAGGTGATGTTGGTGTCACTGTGTCAGCACCAAAGGACACCTTGGGATCTAGACCAGTCCTTTGTTTTATGCCTGGCCACACGGGAGCCGGACGGGGGCTGGCTTGTGTGGGGCAGGCAGTGGTGGCTGGCTGGTGGCGCCTAGGGCTGTGTTCACCTGTGCTCCGTGGTGGCCGTGGTACCCGTGGTACTCTGTTTGGTTTGGCGGGAGGGATGGGGCCAGTCTGGGGCAGGACGAGGATCTCACATATTTCCAGGAGGTTTAAATCTCAGGAACGTCCAGCTGCTCAGAAATAGCAAGAGGGATTTGGCGCCGGCTCCAGGACCTGAGGCCCCCACCCCAGCTGCCCTCCTTCCCAGGAGGCACTAGGGTTTATGGCGGCAGCTGCAAAGGAAAAAAATAGCCCTGCTTATAAACTAGGAGGGCTGGTGCTGGGGCCCTGTGATGAGGCCCCAGTGTCCTCCACTCACTGGGCCCTGTGGGGATACCTGGGGGTTACTGGGGTGGGAGGGCCCAGGCCTGTGGGTTTGGGGAGCCAGACTCCACTGAGGGGCTGGGACTGCACAGAGCTGAGGACAGGGGACAGGGACAGCCTTTGCCCAGCATGCTTCCTTCCCAGGTCCTCCGTTACAGAGGTGCAGGGAAGGGCAGCCCAGTGGTTAGGAGATCCCCGTGCTACCACCTCCCAGCTGTGTGACTTCAGGCCGGGCACTTCACCTCTCTGGGCTTGTTTCCTTTTATGGGAAATGGGAATCCTGAGGAGCAAGACTTAAAAGGCCTGTAGGAGCTGAGTTCATCTCTTAAAGTGCTCTGGAGGCTGAGGCAGGAAGACTGCTGCGAGCTCAAGGCCAGCCTGAGCTACACAATGAGACCTGGTCTCAAAATGAACAAACAAATTTAAAGTGCCTAGAGCTGCCCTGCCTCATGGGCTCTGTGAATGAAAACTGTTATCATTTGAGAAAAAAAAAGGAAGAAGTTTCTCTCCCTAAATGCCTGGCTCTAACCAGGCAAGGTAGCACATGCCTGTAATCCCAGCACTTGGGAGGCTGAGGCAGGAGGATTGTTGTTGAGTTTGAGGTCAGCCTGCACCACATAGT